ATTAAATATTAAATATATTGATAGTAAATAATTGGAACGTCTTGAATTAAAGATAAAAGATTTTTATTGTGTGATTATCAAATTAGGCATGCCTTTTTAAATTGTATTCATACTTTTTGTGCAACATCCTTCTAGTTCATCTGTTATCAGCAAATTACGGTAGCAACTTTGTCTCTATATTTATCAACTTTGTTTCTTAAGAAAAGCAACAAGAGACAAATCTAACAACTTTTTCTGTTTTTTTTTTAAGAGCTTTGGTGACAACACATGTAAGTGATAACTGCTGTGGATTTTCTGTTTTAGCACAGCAAAGCAGCGACACACACAGCTCACAGCAGCAATCGCTGAGATCTGTGTGGGCAGAAAAACACTGTTAGACTTCTGGATGGAGAGACAATCAGGCTAGACAGGCATATGCTATTTTCAAACGCTGTACTCAACTACATCTCAAACTGTTTGATGAAACCACGGAGTTCAAAAGTGAACAGATTGTGATATCTGTTTTTACTGTTTACAGCAGATGCTCTGATGCAATCTGATTGCTCACACTGGAAGACCAAAAAACAGTCACTTAGAGATGGTGCTGGTTGGCCTCATCTATCCAGAAGTAAAGTCAGAAAATAATTTCCTTGTTTGCACTTGAGCAATCCACAAAGTTGAGGGAAATCATCTTATAGATGCTCAGAGCTCTATTTCAACATGAGGATACGATCATGATGACCTCAAGAGGGCGGACTGAATTTTATCTGACAATATAATTTCCGATTAGGAGGTGGCCATGAGATTCATATGATCCCTTTATACTACACGACAAAGGACGCACAACGGACCTAATTCTCGATTAAAAAATTTCTTGCATGCCTGAAAAGGTGAAAAGGTTTTATTGTCATTACACCATCGCAAGTACAGATCAACAAAATTAACTCTCTGCATTTAACCCATCCCCTTGGGGAGCAGTGGGCTGCAATTGTGCAGCACCCAGGGAGCAGTATGGGGTTAAATGTTTTGCTCAGGGACCCAGAGTGGCAGTCAGTGGGAGTTGGGCTAGAAATTAGAACCTCAGTATTCCAAGCACAATATCCTAACCACTAGGCCGCAACTCCCCGAACTCACAAACTCAGGATTTCAGGCCCTAATCTATTGGGTTGTCTGCTATTTGGTTGGCTTTGGAATGGGTTAGAATTAACAAACCTCCTCATACCCAGCCAGTCAGCCACTGGTAAGGGCTGTATCTTTTTCTTACAGTGCTCAGTGAAAATATCGCAATGCATCGTGATGCATCGCAATATTTCAAGTATTGTGATGCATCGTGATAGAATCGCATCGTGGCATGTGAATCGTGATTCGAATCGAATCATGACTTCTTTGTCAATACCCACCCTTAATGTCACCTGTGTGACAAATCCAGTTGTGAAATTTACTCTTAAATACTCCACAGTCAACTATCAGCTGTATTGTATACCACGCTCCACACCTCCAGAATACAAGAGTCTTTTAGATTAGCTCAGGAACCATGCGCAGACGGTTTCATGGAATGGGTTTCCATGGTCGAGAAGCTGTATCCAAGCCATAAATAACCAATGGATGCAATGCAAGGCGTTGCAAATGTAAAGTTTGGTGGAGAGGGGATTTTGTGTGCCGTTGATTTTTAGCAACTCTAACAATTTGGACAATTCAGTGCTGCCAGTACTATAAGAACAGTTTGGAACTGGCCCGTTCCTCTTTAAAATGATTAAAATAGCATTTTAATCATCTGTGTTGCCTTTAATATTTAGATTTGTTTGATGTGCTAAACAATTAACAGTTTTTTATAGTTATGAAAATAAAGAAAACTCTTTGAATCAGAAGGTGTGTCCAAACTTTTGGTCTGTACTGTATGTGAATATATGTTTGCTTATATATATATATATATATATATATATATATATATATATATATATATATATATATATATATATATATATATATGTGTGTGTGTGTGTGTGTGGGTGTATGTGTATGTATAAATGCATATTCCTGTATGTCATGAGAAGGGCTTTATTCACTTTTATTTAGCTACTTTTGTTCAATTTCCTTTTTCAAGTGAACAGTACCTTGAAGGAGCCACTCATCACAGTAGGTTTAACTACTTCATGCATTATGCATGGCTCCATTTTTAGTCAGGTTCCGTTCAGCCTGTTCATTATCTGGAAACCTTATTTTAGTTTGTGTCTGCTCCTCCAGGCTGAAATTTCACAGCTCAGATGTTCAAGTTGTAGTCAGACGAATCAACATTTTGGGCACATTTACAGATACAGTAGAGACGGGACATAATAAAAAAAACATTTTTTTTAATGTCCGACACTGCTATTTCCTTACTAACCGTAGGTCAGTTAGGATTATTATTATTGTTATCTTTCTTGCTAAATGATAAATTAGATGAGAAGAAAAAAATGTTTCTTGCCTTTTTCACTGTCAAACGTTTCCATATAGGCTTAGTGTTTGATAGAACTGCCTTAAACTAAATGATTTGTACTTGCACATGGCCAAAAATCACCCTTCTTTTCTGTGATGTTCCATACGCCTAACAAAAAATGAAAGGATACTAAAAATAACTTGGGATTTAATCCATACAGCTATTTTTATTTCTAACGTTGAGGAGCAGAAAGGTTGTGAAGTTTGACAGTATTTTAGGTTTTATTCTAGCCTAAGCTATTATCGACTCTGCTCAGGTTTTATGGTTGTTTACAATTGATCCTGCCTGTAGATTAATGTTCTTTGGAACAAAATATCAGCTTTTTCAAATGACTTCAGGCTTTATTGATTTGTAATTACAAGACTAACAGTGTTTGGAATATTTAGAAGAACAGAGCCACAAAGAAAAACTTCCAAACCTAAAAGAAGAACTAAATAGGCTTTAAATGCAATTTGGCAGAAAACTGCGATGATGACATATGAGCTGACAGCAGGAATTTAACCTTTTTTTTAGACACGGATGAATGCAGAGAGGAGTGATTATTTGAATTAAATAGAGTGTTGTGGCCTTTTTTTCCCATGAGGTATTTATTGAATGAACAATTTCACACAGACAGCTTTTTCACTGGAGAAATTATGGATGAAAATTATAATTCGCTTTACAAGCGCCTTTGTGCTTGGGGCACGTTAATTAACAATTTCTAATTCCAGCCTCTGCAGAGATGACACTTAACCAAACATAAACATGCCACTGATGTAGGATTTTTGAATGATGATTTTTACATGATGAATTTTCTTAGTTAGTTGGTGAAACCGATTTTTATCACTGTGGAAATTATTTGTATCCCTGCTTTAAATAGAATATCGCCAACAACTGGTTCAGAAGAGGTGCTGTCAGCTGCAAATGCAAAGCATGTTATCGAAATAAGATGCTTATGCATGTATCTTTATTTTTTATGGTTTTGTGTGAATAAAGGTGAAGATTAAAAAAACAAATTAGAATTGATACCTGTATAACAAATCCACGTTATCTGCATAAAGGGGATGTTAATCATTTGATTTTGCTTTATATGAGCAGATCATAGAGTTATGAACTATTCCCTTTTTTCAACACATTTGGGTTTCTTCTAACAATGCTTTTTCCTTATGTTGATGTTTCTTTTTTCAAATAAAGCCTATAATTAGAGTCATTTTTTGTCAGTCTGTACACTAAGTTCTGTAGTGCTGCTTAGTTTTATTAATTTTAAACATCCTGATCTTGGTTGTACTTTATAGAGAGTCTATATTATAAACCAACAACATGTAGTGTATTATTGTAAGGTGAAAGGAAAGCTATTTAAATGAATAAATGCCTATATGTTCATGGCTTTTAATATTTTTTACTTAACAAATGTGATCAGCAACAATCTGAAAAGTGCTTCTTCTTCTTTTTGTGTAGAGCTCATTTTACTCTGGTAACTTGTGCACGCTCTGTTTACAGTCGTAGGGATGCGGCTGTTCCAACGGTTACAGTTCTGAATTTTCCTGAGTGGTACACGAGTAAAGTGAATGTGATTGGTCGATTATCAAGAGGGCAGGATTTTTGTGGCAGAAGTTTCCTAAGCAAGTTTGATTGTCTCCGGTGTCTCGGAAGCGTCTTCCTAACCAGTTAGCAACTTGGTGCTAGTAGGTTCCCAATGGGAAATTACATTGGGACCAAGTAGCACTTAGCAACAACACTGTTAGCGTTCCTTGACACTGTCAAGGAACGCTATGGACGGCAGAAACATGCAAGAGGAGGAGAGTTTTGTTTCGAAGGTTGTGGATGAGTCTCGTCCGTCATACATTTTTTATTTAGAGGAGGAAAGTGGAGACGAAGTTGTTGCGAGAGAGTACGCCAGGGTGGCAGAAGCTTGGTTTGGGGTAGAAGGCTTAGAGCCGTACATGTTTGAGTCCTTGCCTTGCAACGCTGCCAGTTCTGTTAGCTCTACGCCTGCTGAAGACGCAAACATCCATCCCTGTGAACACTGGGATGTAACTCATTGGTAAAGGAAATGATTATTTCTTATTTCAACCTATATATTAGCTGCGACGTGAATCAAGATGCTATGACTGAAAACATTTGATTGACAGATGACCGTTGATATATGATTGGCTGAATTTAGGTGTACAAGCTGACGTATAACTAACTGGCCTGCATAAGATAATGAAAAAGATCTTAAAGCTACAGTGTGTAATAATTACAGGGATATACAGTCAGAAATGTAATATATTATACATAACTATGTTATTTATCATCATCTACGAGCTCAGCCTCTTAACCTTAATATTTGCGTTGCCTTAGAATTCGTTATTTATAATTACATAGGAGCGGGTCTCGCAGCCATGGAGGCAGACATCTTTGCGCTACGGCAGCCCAGAGCCAACAAACTAGCGATTGCGAGATCGCCAAAACGTCACAACGATGTAGAAAAAATAACGGGTATATTTATTATCTTAAGTCTACATGAAATCTATACCCTACACAGACTAATGAAATACTATCTGTAAAATTATCTATGTAAACAAACCTCATCACTTGAGAAGGTAGGTGATGCGGACGTCTTGGAAGACATTTTGTCCCGTAACGCTCGCCGTACTGTTAGGGGGAGAAGCGGTGGGGGGGAGATGTTCATGTTGCTGCGGTCTGCAGTCTGGACGTTAGATGTCGCTGAAAATTACACACTGTAGCTTTAAGACAGGATTTTTTTTTAAATAGAAATTTTCTAACTTTTTGGACAATATGGTGTAATAAAGGGTTCATTTATATACATATTTAAGCCAGAATATTTATAATTGACTTTAAAAGTTGTTTGCATCGCATACAAGCTTACTTCCCAAAAGAAGATTTGCATTTTTTCTACTATTTTAGACTCACCACCGGTAAGTGAAAATGAGGACGAGCATGTAGGATTGCCTTAAGTAAACATATCACCAAAATGATTGACAATTAGGAGGACCACTTATTTTCCTTCCCCATACCTTTAAATTACCTACACTTATCAGCTTATTTTACCATTGATCGTGTAAATGAATCGACATAAACCGTGGTCCATGAGACTCAGCTCCTAAGTCCTGACTAAGGAAACTTGAGTAAAAGTCACAGACTGGATTTCCCATCTCTGGACACATTCTTTGCAGCTTTAAATGGAGAGAAAGGTGGTTCTACATTTTATTAACCCAGAAAACGAGAATGCAATTTCATGCCACCTTTTTTTAGATTTTGTTTTTGTAAAAAGAGAATGAAAGCCACGTCTCCAATTCCTCTACTTTAATAATTTGATCATTTTTGTCATCCGTCACAAAAAATTCAAATTAATATAGTTATAGTTTGAAAGGTTTGAAGAGATTATAGCCTTCTACTTGTGTGCTGTAGAAATAATGCTTCCAAGTTTTAATGCTTCAGGATTAAAAGTGGATATCATGCTCTATAAAATGAAGCTTTTGTTGAAATTTCTTTAGTTTTTTTTGTCATTTGGTCTTTCTTTTTTTGTGTTGCTACGTTACCATGTACTTGACAACACGTGTAGCGCAGATTCTTCTATTTTTTTGTTCTGTGTGAAGTATATTTTTTTACACTGGTATTCCCAACACTTGGTTAGCTCTTCCTTCCAAACAAACTGTGAAACATTAATTTTGCATAGTTTAATCATAGTTGGTCTTGCAAGTCCAACTTTCAATTAGATTTATAGAGCATTAAAAAAATGTCTTCCTGTCTAGACATTCCAGTAACTGAAAGTAGCTTTAGTGATATTGCTCACCCCATCTGCATCTTCCCTTCCCCATGTGGAGGAGGAGCTCCAGCCAGCTGTTCTAATCCGACCCTGATCAGCTCTGAACTTCTGCTGTGTAGCTCTGCTGTCAAGATGTTTTCCATTCAGGCTTGCAGGCATGACATCTTCTTGGAAGACAGAAATAGAGCACAGACTTGGCAACATTCACTGCATTCTCATATAGGCATTTATTCATTTAAATTCTCTTCATCAAAGCTATGAATTATATTTTTTGCAGATTGTTTGACTAAAACAAATGTCTGGAAGACAGATGAAAAAAAGCGTGGGTCTCTTTAGTCCTCTTCAGCACCTCCTGATACAAGCAGAGCATTGCTAATGCAGTGGCAGGTGTTTATCACCACGCACAGTTTACTCACTCAATAGGAATCCTGATGTATTCGTGCTTTGGCTCAGAAAACATTGATGCTGTTGTTTGCTACAAATCCCTAGGTCTGCAAACTTGGAGTTTTAAGTTCATTAAAGTAATCAATAATGTTTGATAATGTGAAGCGTGCTGAGTTAATAATCTCAATAAGAAAAAAGCCGTCTTAAATAGTCACACACATTGCAGATAATGTTTTTGCTTGTTCTAATGCAGGTTGCACTTCATGCATGTGGGATTGCAACAGACATGGTGTTGGAGCACTGCATCCAGGCAGGAGCCGCCTTTGTCATCAGTCCTTGTTGCTACGGCTTCATCCAGAACGCAGTCAAGTTCACCTTCCCCAAGAGGTCTGTGCCTTTCCTCCACACTTCCCTCCAGTGTCGCCTCTCTTTGCCATTTCACCTTAAAATGTTGTTTCAGTCCTGTTAGCATCATGTCAAAAAATGCTACCATCCTACCGTGCTGTACTGTTGTTTACTTTCACTACCCTTGCTGTCCATTACCCTCCCACCAATACAGAATAATTTTCTGTTCTCAAATACACATAATCTGTCTTGTCAGTTCTTGTTTCTTATCAGCACCGCTGACAGTCGAAGGCAGCAGTGTCACATCCTCTCCTCTGCAGAGTCCATTCCAAACATTTTCTGTCTTCTTGTCAGCTAAAGAGTCACTTTCACTGCACAGGCAGTCGGGGGTAATATAAATAGACTAGAATGCGAATCTGCTGGAAAGCACTCTTGACTTGTGACATCCAATCTTTGGTTGAACAGAAAATGCCCATCGATCCGACTGCTTGGATGTTGTTGCTCAGTTAAGCAAAGAGAAGCTGCACTCAACATAATTGGAGGTTATCTTTTGCTAATGCTGTGAGAAGCAACAGTCATCCAAGGCAGACGGCTGCTGCAAAACTTCATGTGACTCATAGTCTGCAGTGTAGGGGTGCAGATGCAACACTGACTTTATGATAGAGATGCTCATGGTGCCGATGCTCCACTGTGAGTGAGATCGAATTATGCTATATGTGATATTTTACCAGTTAGTTATTCTTTGTCCAGTATTTATTCTTACATTATATCAAAGCGCAATTTGGACTGTAAAATATTTTATGTTGCAAAAAAAATTTAATCTTTAGGAAACATCATCTGAGGGAAACAAATTTTACTTTCAACCCCGTCATCCACTATTCACCATAGTGATGCTAAAGCATAAAACAGCAGGCAGTCCTAGTGTTAAACTACACTCTCACCTTTGCATACCAGCCATATGTTACTATGATGCATATTAGACTTTAATTAAGGCTTCACCTGTATCCAATTTCCTTTTGCTCAACCTTCAGCTAATACATTTTCCAGCTGGAAAATGTATTAATGTGTTTTAAAGATGAGTTGTCAAGAGTGTTGAAATACAGAGACAGCTAATGTTTTGCTACAGGCCTCCAGATGGGTCTGGAGTCTGGAGCATCACGGTTTGAAAGTTTCAGTCAGGGTCTTGTCGTAAGTGCTAAAGTAAATATATTTTTCTAAAGACTGGCCACGGTCATCACTACAGTGTCCTTTTTTTATGTAACCTTGTGTGAAATTCCCAGCTGCATTTAAGTCCAACCTGTAAAGAGTTTTACTTAGAAAATGGCTTTGCTGCCAGCTGTGCCCTTACATCAGGTGTCTGCAACCTTTCATATCCAAAGAGCCTTTTTGCAATGAGTCCAACTCAGCAAAAGTCGTTTAGAGACGCAAAATACTACATTACATTTTTTTAATAAAATAAAATAAAAAAAATCACCTATTATTTTTGCTCAATATCTACCATAAGAAATCTGTTGCCATTTTAAACAACCAAGAACTTATTTGGATTCTTTGCTTTCAAAATAAGGGGGGAAAAAATAAAGTGATTAATAAAATGGAAGCATGGATTATTTTATTGTAGGGTATTATTTGATGTAAACAAAAATGTTAATAATAAAACACCTAGTTCCCAAGCTATTTAAAGGAAAAATAGCTCTAACAACATATTTCTGATGTTTTCCAATATCATCATAAAAACCACAAAAGCTTCCAAGACTGGTATTTGTTCTTATAGTACATTATTTAGTTCTTTATACCATTTTTAGCCACTATTAAGACAATTGTAAAGGGTCCAAAGAGCCACATGCAGCTCTGGAGTCACTGGTTGCAAACCCCTGCCCTACATTATGAGGGTGAAAGGATGACAAAAATATCGTTATGTTTTTTTTTTATCATTATTAAATAAAGAAAATATGCTAAATGAAAGAGAGAGAGAGAATGTATCAATATTATAGTACTGTCCAATGTTCCGTAATGGCTGGGTCCGGATTCTAGAGGCTTCCATACATTTGAGTGTTAAAGGAAAAGTCTGGTCAGCATGAAATAATCAATGGATCATTATTTATACCTAGAACTAATTCGTTTGCAGTGATTTAATGAATTTAGCGTTAATCAGTAAAAAAATAATAATAATTTTCGTCGCATCCACTGAGTCTGGGACCGGCCATTTTTGCCCAAATATAGTAACACCTCACTCTTGGCATCTTCCGTCAGTGATGTCACGGTGCCGTAAGCCTAGCGCCATTCTCCCCGCTTTACAAGCAAAATCTATGGGAGCTACTAGACACATCTGCAATCAACAACAATATTTAAGATTTCAAGAGAACTTTACCATTGAAATTTACGAGAGCTATAGTTAAAATGACAATGCCCACGTGCATGGCAATAATTGTAATACATCCGGTAAAAGTGCAAAAGAAATAAGTTATTTCACCTTTCTGATTTTTGATCCTCCACGGACCGGTTCCTGCCGCCCTGGTCATTGTATTGCTAATTTGAAGAGGGAGGATTTTCTATCGAACTTCTGGCCAGAGAAAAACACGTAATATGTAGCCAACATTTCAAAGAAGAATGTTTTCAAAGTGACTTGGATAATAGCGTATTGTGACAAACAACAGATAGAGGGGACTTCCTCAACAGCCGATACCGCACCGTGACATCACAAACCGGTAGGTGGCAGTAGTGTTCTTTGACAAACATGCATGTCTCCAGGAAAGCACATTCATAGGAAAATTACTCTTAATTTAAAACACTTATTTATTTAACAGGATATAATAATTTCTTATTTAAATTACTTGCAAAAGTTTGAATTCTGAACTTTTCCTAAAGACTGTGCTGATGTCACCTGAGCCTAAACAACTCTATCTACTTGATGCCGATGTTGGTACACTTTTCCCCATTAGCATATCTAGCAGAAATGTAGTAAAAGAGGAAAAAATGTCTGAGTGCGCTATCACAAACATTATTTCTATTCAACTGGATTCTGTTTTATGTAAAGATTCAAAATTTTAGATAAAAATTTTACCAGTTTGTAAAGGATATAAAACTATACCTTGATACAATTTTGGACCCTAAATTGATGGTACAATCCATTTTTATAACTGTCTGTCACACCCTTTCTTTTGTTCAGTAGGAAGCATTTGTTCAATTCTGGCATATTGTTTATTTTAACCAGAGCGGAGTGTGCTTTCTGAGGAACTGCGTTAGGTTCAAAGTAATGTTATGCCATTGTTTAATTTTAAGTCTTCATTTGACAGAGACAACCAAGAATTTGTGAATATTTAGAGTTTTAAACAGTTTTTCTGTCCATGTGACACTTTCTATCCATGGAGGAAGCTTCATGTGGACAAGAGATGATGTAATTTAGAACAGTGTGATCACCAATTCCAAGTTCATGCACCTGGTGATAAACATTTAGAGACTAAAGTTCTCGTTACAGTCTAAATATTACTTTTTTTATTGGATGAGGTACTGAAATCCCTGTAGGTGTGAAATCATGACGTATCAGGCCTGTACCTCTGTGTCCTTTTGTGGAGAAGACCCTTGAAGATGATCTGAATTTATACAGAGATTTGTGCTCTGAATCCACACACACAAATGTTGTCTATAATCTTTAATTTTTCAGAATTTATTTCAATTAACAAAATATATTCTAAAAATCAGCACTATTACAACCACTGAGATGGTTTGAAACACTATAAGGCAGGTATTGCTGTATTTCAGTTGGCCTTTGTTTTTGCCAACTCAGCTTCTTATTCTTTACTTTTTGTGAAAATGACAGTAAGATTTTCATGCTTAAATGTCTAAGAAAAAGTGCTTTCTGTAGGCAGAACTCTCAAAAGCTCTGCACATCTGACTCAGTCAATCATGACATTTTTAGTGTTGTTTTTTTCCTGCCTTTGGTCATGTTGCAGGTAGTCATGTGGGGATTCTGCAGGTGTCGACATTCCAAGCAGTTCACTGGTTTTTATGAGCTGTGAAACTCAGCTTTCCGTTTCATTAATGCCTGCAAATGTCTACGCTTTCCTCCATGTGTCCAGACCGGCTCTTAACCCTTGACATAGTCATTGTTGAATTTTAATTAACGTCAACCAATAACCAAGCTTTGGGATGGATAAACTGCATTTACCCTCCACAAACAAAGTTCTTTCCCAGGGAGAAAGCAATTGATCTCTGAAAACATGAGCTCTATTTGTATTTTTTTTTATCCCTTTCTCATATTTATGGTTTATTTATGATAGATTTCTCATGAGAGATATTTCTTACAGACACACAAACATCCAAACAGAAACATTGTGTGGCCTGAGCAGATAAATACAACATGTAGAACTATTCTAGCCTGCAGTGCTTGCATGTTTAGAATCAGCTTGTCTTTTTTTTGTTTTTTCGTTTTCACTGAATATCTGTTTCAAATCATTAGATGTTTGCTATTTTTAAAAATAAGGCCTTGGTCCACATCCGTCCGGGGTTTGAGTCCCAATCCAGAGGGACCTTAACATTAGAATATCCGGTAAAATTTGAGACAGATTTTTAGTTAATGTTTCTTCAGATGTCATCACAATGACCCAAACACAGCCAGATAATTAAAAAGTCTTCCTAGTTTATAAGCCTAAAAAAAATGAAAAATATTCAAAGGGTCATCTCAGTTAGTCTCTGTTTGTGAAGTAAATAAAAATCTAACTTGTGTGCTTTAACTTTTTCTGTTTTTACAGCAAAAGGTTTCAGGAGACTCTTTCATCCAAGGTATGTGTTACAGTGCAAATACTCTGCATGGTTAATTTTTATTCTTGGTATTTAAGTGTGAAGTGTTTAGAGGGGAGCCTTCAGGACCTGCTGAGTTACTGTAAAACATCTTCATCATATGGTCAAATTGGTTTTAAAATAATTTTCTTTATTATTTTTTTTCTGAATGATTCATTTGGTTTCAGCAAGTAGAGTTTTGCCAATTTATTTTTCTGTCTTTTAATCAGGCGTTAACAGATTTAATACAATCTCTACACGAATCGCTGTCTTGGTGAACATATCTTCTGCAGGCTCTTACAATGAAGGGACTCGCACCCACCAGCCACTCAAGCCTTTATCGCTTAGCGCAGACACACTGCTGCTCTTCAGGGAGAGACTGTCCCAAAGTGATCTATGGGACCTGTCAAAGCCCCCGAGGGGAAAATCTGTGCAAAGTAGCTGCAGGTCCTAACCATGGCAACCTCAAGTTGATGTGTCAAAACACTGAGCCAGCTTCTTTTCCTTGTTGCAGAGCAAGAATCAGATCCTTACATGGGTGTGTTGGCACAAAAGGAACATAGCTCCTTCCAAAAGTATTCATTTCCCTTCAACTTCCCAACTTTTTTGTTACAAGCACATAAAAAGTAGCTCTTCATTTAAACATGGAAGGAGCGGATTTAACATTGTCATGTTTTTTTGTTTTTTTTATTAAATCTGTAAAGAATAAAATAGAAAATCCCTTTATTGTCCCACAATGGGCAAATTATTTTGTTTACAACAGCAAAAAGATTATAGAAAATTGGTCACACAAATATGGAACTTAAAAAAATGTTTAAGAATAAAATAATAAGGAAAAGGTACGCAATAAAATACTGTAAAGTACAGTATTTTATTGTTGTTTTGTAGTGTTTTAACAATATAAAACTGTGCACCTTGATACTAAATAACCAATATACAGCTATGGACATTTTTACAGTAATGGATATTTGAACAACAGCAGCAACATCAGAGATCTGCAAAATGACAGCAGCATGTTATTTAACTGACTAAGGTAGAAACTGTGCAAGTTCAGCTTGAATGTAACAATTTATTGAGGTTGCTGGGAACAGTGGTGGTTGTAGAGTCTTACAGCTGCTGGGAGGAAGGATCTGTGATAACGCTCCCTGGTGCATTATGGGTGCAGCAGTCTGTCACTGAAGGAGCTCTCCAGTTCTGGAACAGCTTCATGTATGGGGTGGGAGACATTATCCAACAGAGATGTTAATTTAGTTAGGATCCTTTTGTTTCCCACCTCCTGCACTGAGTCCAGAGGGCATCCAGTCACAGAGCTGGCCTTCCTGATCAGCTTATCCAGCCACTGTCTCTCAGCTACAGATAAGCCACTGCTCTAACAGACAGCTCCATAAAAGATGGCTGATGCCACAACAGAGTCATTGAAGGTCTTTAGGAGCGCCACCTGCACTCTGACCTCAGTCTCCTCTGCAGGAAGAGTCTGCTCTGACCTTTCTTATACAGAGCCTCAGTGTTGTGAATCCTGTTCAGTTTATTATTCAGATGAACACCTAGGTACTTATAAGAGTCCATTATCTCAATATCAGTTCCCTGGATGTTCACCAGTGTCAGTGAGGTGGAGCTGCTTCTGCAAAAGTCCACCACTAGCTCCTTGATTTTCCCTGCATTAATCAGAAAGTGGTTCTACTGGCACCAGACCACGTAGTCCTGAGTCCACTGTCTGTACTCTGAGACGTCCCCACCAGTGATGAGGCCAACTATGGTAGAATCATCAGAGAACTTATGGAGGTGGCAGCATGGGGAGTTCCAGTGTAAAAGGTGAAAAGTAACAGTGCCAGCACTGTTCCCTGTGGGACCCCCATACTGCAAACTGACCTATCTGAGACACAGCCCTCTGCCCCCACATACTGTGGGCTGCCACTGAGGTAGTCCAGAATCTACTTGGACATGTGATGGTCCACTACTGACAGCTTCAGCTTGTACCTTAGTCTTCCTGGCTGGATGGTCGAAAGCACTGGAGAAATCAAAGAACATGATCCTCAACGTGCTTCCAGGTTTCTCTAGGTGAGTCAGTGCTTGGTGCAGGAGAAAGATGATGGCATCATCTGCCCCAATCCCAGGACGGGATGCAAACTGTAGTGGATCCAATGAAGTCTTCACCAGGGGGCGTAGATGGTGTAAGACCCAAACGTTCACGGGTCTTCATCAGGTGTGGAGTCAGTGCTACCCGCCTGTAGCTGCTGAGGTCTACCACACAAGAGGTCTTCCACAGCTGTGGTACTTCTCCTAGCCGCAGCA